CAGCAGATGGCAAAACAAAACGCTCGATTGGCACTCCGCAGATTTGCGTGCCACTACGAAGATTTCAAGTTTATGTCGGATCTTCTAAAAAGAAATCCGTAAATTGAAAAAAATTTTTGATACCTTTTTTTTACATTTTCGAGAATCGGGAAATAAAATATAAAAATGAAGCGTTTGAATCTGAGAGTTTGTTTTTTTCTCATTGAGTTGTTTCCCGAGCGTAAACATTTATATATTTCTTTAGTTTTGTCTCGATTTGTATCCCCTTTTTTTATCCAGTTTATTTATTAAAACCCGACAAAAGTTTTACTCGACCAAAAATTCTTGAATATTTAATTATACATGTAATTTATTTTTCCCAAATTATTTGTTATGTAAATCTGATGTAGAAATTTAAAAAGAGGTTGTGTATGTTTGCCTCCGCGAAAAGTACTTCCTACTACCGAAGCACCCGAGTTCCGTCGCAGTGAAATGCGCGAGCCAGCGGTGCTCAATCTCGTCCGTCCGCGCGCAACTATCCATTGGCGTCGGCGTCGGCGATAATGTTTCACGTATATATTTGCATGATTCAACTGTACAAGACTGCGATTGAGATAAGTCAACTACGAGTGAAGATCTACACCTGCTGCGGATGAAAACATGACGATTGATCGAATAACTAAAGATGCTGTCGTCGAGATCTTTTGATACAAAAACATTAATCATTTCTGAAACGAGCTGACCATTTGATATCGCATTTCCCAATTCTCTTCGTGTCTCCGTCACGTTTTACAGACTGCCCCATTAGTAAATTAAAACGTTATTGAATACTTTTATCCGTACTTAAATTTCAAATAACATCGCGAGATAATATTTTCCTTCACGGTTCCGCGATTTAATACGCGTCGAAAACACATATAGTTACAATCATTTACGTCATTAACCTTTAGCTCAGCTGCTTTTACGTCATTAACCTGACGGAGTGTACATCTTTTCGACAAACATTTTATTTCTTTGTCTCTTCCTTCGTATTGACATTAATGAAGGAAAAGATATGTTTTACACTTCGATAAATAACAAAAATTAAATGTTATTCCGACAATTATTTATATTAAAACGGGCTTAAGAGACAAGTAATAATTTGCGAAATTACATGACACTTCTATACGGTGCACACTCTATGTAACTCGACCGGCGCGAGCAGTTAAAGGTTAATAGTGAATTAACATTTCATCGTAAATCGGCGTATACAGGAGCGTGCGCGAAAATATCCGGGCCTTACATGAAGTCGTTAAGCGGGAACGCGCGCAAGAAGATATTACGACACGTACGGAAGCATCGAAAATTATCACCTACACTTATTTACACGATTGAGCAAACAGCCACCGTTATTTACCGATTCGCGGTTGAGCGACCTTCGGCATCGTTAAAAATCCACACGCCGCGCGCCTCTGCCAACGATGGATTCCGCCTATCTATATTATACGCGTAAACAAAATGCCTATGAATCGTTTGAAGGATCGTTACTGCGCCTCGGGGAGCTCTATCGGGCCATTAATCGTGGCGCCTCGCGATTAAAGCTACAGGCGTCGACGCGGCCGGGGCCGTAAACCTCTCACGATTCCCGGGGAATCGGTGCACGCCGGGGGCAGTCGTGTTTACATGCGCGCGAGTAACGGAAACGCAACTGTATCCTCGAAAAAAGATCGCGAGCAAAAAGGGAAAGAGAGAGAGAGAGAGAGAGAGAGAGAGAGAGAGA